TAATAATAATAATAATAATAATAACTTTATTACGGTCATAGACCAGCAATCTACTCTGCTCTGCTCTGCTCTGCTCTGCTCTACTCTACTCTACTCTATTCTCCATATTCCATATTCCATATTCTATTCTATTCTATTCTTCCTATTCTATTCTATTCCATATTCTATTCTATTCTATTTTATTCTATTCTATATTCTATTCTATTTCCTATTCTATTCTATTCCATATTCTATTCTATTCTATTCTATTCTATTCTATTCTATTCTATTCTATTCTATTCTTCCTATTCTATTCTATTCCATATTCTATTCTATTCTATTTTATTCTATTCTATTCTATATTCTATTCTATTTCCTATTCTATTCTATTCCATATTCTATTCTATTCTATTCTATTCTATTCTATTTCCTATTCTATTCTATTCCGTATTCTGTTCCGTATTCTATTCTATTCTATTCCGTATTCTATTCCGTATTCTATTCTATTCTATTCTATTCCGTATTCTATTCCGTATTCTATTCTATTCTATTCTATTCTATTCTATTCTATTCTATTTCCTATTCTATTCTATTCTATTCTATTCTATATTCTATTCTATTTCCTATTTTATTCTATTCTATTCCGTATTCTATTCTATTCTATTCTATTTCCTATTCTATTCTATTCCGTATTCTATTCTATTCTATTCCGTATTCTATTCTATTCTATTCTATTCTATTCTATTCTATTCTATTCTATTCTATTCTATTTCCTATTCTATTCTATTCCGTATTCTATTCTATTCTATTCTATATTCTATTCTATTCTATTCTATTCTATTCTATTCTATTCTATTTTCTATTCTATTCTATTCTATTCTATTCTATTCTATTCTATTCTATTTTCTATTCTATTCTATTCTATTCTATTCTAATTCCATTCCATTGTCTTCCAGTCCAACCCTCTGCTCAAGCAGGTGACCTTATACCATCCTAGACAAATGGCTATCCAATCGCTTCTTGAAAATCTCCAGCGATGGAGCACCCACAACTCCATTGATTGATTGTTGTCGCTGTCAGGAAATAACAGAATAACAGAGTTGGAAGGGACCTTGGAGGTCTTCTAGTCCAACCCCCTTTTTCCTTAGCGGTAGGTGGGTTCTCGCCTAAGTTCCAGGTGGGATCTCTCTCTGACTATCTTCCACTCAGTGCTTCTTGTCCTGCCCTCTGGGGCTTTGAAGAATTAAGTCAATCCCCTCTTCTCTGTGACAGCCCTTCAAGTATTGGAAGGTGCTATCTTGTCTCCCCTTAAGCCTTTTCTTCATTAGAATGGAAATATCTATTTCTCCTAGATGCTCAGGTGGTCTGGTCGTTGATTATCACTGGTTTTTATCAAACCCCTTATCCCAAGAATATCACTGGTTTTGTAGGTAGCCCTTGGCTTTCCCGTGGTAAGGAAGGAAGGAAAAGAAATAAATTTCCCAAAGGGTATTTTTTCAAAAGGCAACTGGATTTTCTCGGCTTTTTTCCTTGAAGATGTTTTGCTTCTCGTCCAAAAAGCTTCTTCAGTTCTCGGCACGGCGTACAGTTCTTTGAACTGAAGGAGCTTCTTGGATGTGAAGTGAAATATCCTCAGGGGAAAAAAAAAAAAAAACCTCAAGAAAGTACATCGGCCTTTTAAAAAGCACCCTAGGGACAAGCCTGACCTACGGTATATGATTGAAAATCTCCATTGACAAAATAAAAAACATTGAATTTCTGCTGATCATTGCAGGAAAAGAATCAAGTTGCCAATCTCTTTAAGCGTGGTTGCACATTACTTTGCAGAACAATTATTCAAGGTGTCCTCCCCAAACTTTTAATTTCTTTCAACTTCCCTCAGGGAGTTATTCTGAACTTTTGTCTCTCTCTCTCTCTCTCTAATACCTTCTGGTGTTTCGACCACAAAGGATGTTTCTTTCCTTTGTGACTCAGTCTTTTTACTGTTTCAAAGCTAACAAGCAGAAATCACGGGAAGATTTCTCATTCATTCTGCTCAAAGTATCTTTGGCAATCAAGTTTAACTATCAATCATTTGCAAGCAACAGATGTTAAGTTTACATCCGATTCATGAATTCCAGTAGATCAGCTAGTATTTACTGTACTTGGTTCACTTAACCGGGTTTATTTAAAAAAGGAACTCTGCCAGGAGGTGGGAATCCAGACGTTGTCTCAGTCCATGCATTGCTCAAGACATGCGTTTGTGCTAACCACAGATTGCTGAATAATATATAGCGGCATTAAGCTAGAAAACCTGTTTGATACCCTGGGCTGAGCCCAAACCAAGGAAACCACATTATGACTTAGCCACAAATTGTATCGATATCGCCAAAAACTAGCAGTGCCTCCCTAAGATTCTAAAATTATTGCTCCTGGAAAGATCTGGGTGCAAGACCTACATTTAACCATCCCATTGACATCTTGTCAATGCAATCTTCTCCAAGATTCTTCCTGAAGGCAGAATGAGGAGCAACGGATGGAAACTCATCAAGGAGAGAACCAATCTAGAACTAAGGAGAAATTTCCTGACAGTGAGAACAATTAGTGGACCATCTTTCCTCCAGAAGTTGTGGGTGCTCCAACACTGGAGGTTTTTAAGAAGAGATTGGACAACCATCTGTCTGAAATGGTATAGGGCTGCCTGCCTGGGCAGGGGGTTGGACTAGAAGATCTCCAAGGTCCCTTCCAACTCTGGTATTCTTCTTCCACTGTTTCAGTTACTAAATTGACTGGCTTACAAATAGTGGCTGGAACTGAATTCAGTCAGCCTCTAAAAGGAAGGACTCACTGGAGAAGAGCCTGATGCTGGGAAAGATGGAGGGCAATTGAAGGGGACGACAGAGAAGGAGGTGCCTGGATGGAGTCACTGAAGCAGGAGGCGTGAGCTTCAATGGACTCCAGAAGATGGTAGAGGACAGGAAGGCCTGGAGGAACCTTGTCCATGGGGTCGCGATGGGTCAGACACAACATCGCAACTAACAAGAGTAGAGTAGAGTAGAGTAGAGTAGAATAGAATAGAATAGAATAGAATAGAATAGAATAGAATAGAATAGAATAGAATAGAATAGAACAGAACAGAACAGAACAGAACAGAACAGAACAGAATAGAATAGAATAGAATAGAATAGAATAGAATAGAATAGAATATGAAGTAGAGTAGAATAGAGTAGAAGAGCCTAATGCTGGGAAAGATGGAGGGCAAGAGAAGAAGGGACGACAGAGAAGGAGGTGGCTGGATGGAGTCACTGAAGCAGCAGGCGGGAGCTTCAATGGACTCCAGAAGATGGTAGAGGACAGGAAGGCCTGGAGGAACGTTGTCCATGGGGTCATGATGGGTCGGACACGACTTCGCAACTAACAACAAGTAGAAGAAGGTGATGCAGTGGCTCAAGTGGTTAAGACGCTGGGCTTGATGCTGGAAAGCCGGCAGCCCAGGTTTGAGACCTGTGCACCGCATGATGGGGTGAGCCCCCGTTCCTCGTTCCTGCCAACTTAGCAGTTCAAAAGCATGCAAATGCGAGCAGATAAATAGGTACCACTTCGGTGGGAAGGTCACAGCGCTCCGTGACGTCACGCCGGACACATGACCGCAGAAACGTCTTCGGACAGTGCTGTCTCAATGGCCTTGAAATGGAGATGAGCAACGCCCATAGTCGGCAAGAACCAGTGAAGTAAAATCCACAGGGACTGGTATACGGTACTAACAGGAGACGGGTGATCAGCATGTTGGGAGCTGATGAAGATTGGATTCCCTTCAGCAAGTCTCTAGCTCATTCTGCTGAAGGGAATTCTGCAAGCATCTTTTCGCCTCACTCTTTCTATATAGTGTCACACCCCAAATTTCTGTTTGTGTAGGCTGGGAGATAATCACTTCTGGACATTCCCTCTGCACAAAAGAATTTAACCACAGAGAGTTCTTTTCTGTAGAACAGCACGCTGATTCTGCCGTCTACTGGATCTGGAACAGATGGAGTACATATATATATATTTCCTCCATAGACATAAAAGCTTTCCAGCTGCACCTCTGTCCAAATTACCTACTTTGGGTCAGTAAAAACACTGAAGTTAATCCGAAGCATTTTATTTGATCGCTCGACGATCCAGTTGCTTCAGATTAGTGCAAAGTGTTATTTTCCCTGTGAGCTCTTTGGATGGGTTTTCGTGCAGACATGTCATGACCCAACTAAGGAACACCATCAGCTCTAGGAGTGGGATTTGCAGAGGGGAGGAGGAGGAGGAGGACTGTGGGTCCTTGGTGGTCTCTGAGCTTGGTTGTTTTCTTGCAGATGTTTCATGACCCAACTGGGGAACATCATCAGTTGTAGAAGGAGTGGGATTTGCAGAGGGGAGGAGGAGAAGGAGGAGGAGGAGGACTGTGGGTCCTTGGTGGTCTCTGAGCTTGGTTGTTTTCTTGCAGATGTTTCAACTGGGGAACACCATGAGTTCTAGAAGGAGTGGGATTTGCAGAGGGGAGGAGGAGAAGGAGGAGGAGGAGGACTGTGGGTCCTTGGTGGTCTCTGAGCTTGGTTGTTTTCTTGCAGATGTTTCATGACCCAATGAAGTAACACTATCAATGCTAAAAGGGAGTGGGGTTTGCTCTCAGTTTACGTACAGTTCCTTCTCTAGCACTGGTGATGTTCCCTAGTTTGGTAATGAAATGCCTGCAAGAAAACCACGAAGCTCCCACCTCCTTCCTCTTCCTCTTCTTCCTCACCCT